GTATGGATGGTGTCACTCATACAGAAGTTTGACCAAAGGAGTGACACCATTTTTCAAAATAATATGACTAATAATAAACATATAGACATAAAACATAAAACATAGACACACATTAAGTAACTTTTTAAAAATCATATATGTAGGTAATAATAAAAGAGAAAAGAAAAACAAACAAAAAATAAGGATAATTATTATAGTAATAGAAAAAGGTTTTCAAGAAGTGAAAAATAACGACTATTTTAAACTATTAAAATGCAAAATAACTTTCATAAAGTTGTCTTGTAATTCAAGCTTTAAATTTTACCGGTTCTAAATTTACCGGTTTAAATTTACCGGTTACCGGATGTTTTTATCAGATGAATGAGAATCTTAACAAAACAGTTTTTACAATTTAAATTGGATTTGTTGAATGGAATAATAAAGCTCAAAGTTAAATATATTCACTTCAAGCTTATGTTTTGAGAACTGATGGAAAAAAACTAGGGGCCAAGGGTCCAGGTTCATTGCTATTTTGCCATCATCATTCGCTTTGCAAAACATTCTGTTTATCACAGTGACAAGTCATCTGCTCATCATGGGTCTATGTTTTGGTTGAAGGTAAAGCAACAGCTTTAGAGCAGCAGTAGTTTTTTTGCGTTGTGTTGCAATTAGTTTTATAAATGACCGTCCGAAAGTTGATAAAGTGTCCACTTAAAAAGATAGATCTTCCATCTAGCAGGACTGCAGCTAAAAAATTAAAAATCTCAGATTTTTATCTATTTATTTATTACAATACCCAATGAAACATAAATTATACATAAAAAGTTTATTATTGATGAAGGAAAGCAACACCAGGTTTTTATATGCTGACGGTTGACATAGCTATAATTGAAATAGCATCATAAAAATACTTGTAAAAAGGTTTACTGTATGTACATCAATTACATCATGCGCATTTCAACGGTTTACAACATGGTTTTTAAAAAAGTGCCGACGTTCTGAATAACATACGGATCATTTTTAATTAATTATATGATGAGTTTAATGAGAAAGTCTAAACGCTCAAACGTTTTTTAACTTGGTTTTTTAAAAATTCTTTAACAGCGTTTTTTTGTGAAATAGACCTGATGGTTATGTTATAGTTTTAAATAAGTCATTTCTTAAATAATTTATCAAAGAAATATATTATTTAAAATTACAATTTTTTGGTAATATAAACAAAGCAAGTAAATTATTATGCACATCACCAAGTAAATTTATTTTATGTCTCATCAATAAAAACTAATTTTTTAATTTTTTGTAATTAAAATCTCGTTATGATTTTTTTTTTCGTCTTCTATCGTCCCGAATACTTTGGTAACCGAGGTACTTATGCCTCCCTCTCAGCGGCCCGAGCCTTTTTCCGCTCCCTCTCGCCGGCCTGTACATAATTTGTTTTTAATTAACTAAAATAGTTTTGAAATTAATATATATATATATATATATATATATATATATATATATATATATATATATATATATATATATATATATATATATATATATAGGAGTTTTTTTTTCAAGTAACGGCCCTATAACTATCGGTGGAGTAGTTAACTAAAACTCACAAAAACATAAAAATAAACTATATAAACGAAAAAACCCTCTGCGCAAATCCAACTTAAAGTATTTTCAGTATCAAAGTTTGAAAATTTGCTTAATTAACTCATATTGTTTATTAAACAATATATTTAGTTAAACAATGTTTAACTATTATATATTGTATATATTATATATTGTATTGGACAAATTGATCGCCCTTCCAATATATTAAAGTCAAGAAATCGTACATATGAAAATTTGATTGCGAAGTCACTGATGGATTTTTCAAAATTATGTAAAACAAGGCAGATGTTAAGAAGATATCATTTTTTTTATCTTATAGATATAAAAAATGATTTTTTAAATGATTTCAATTGAGATTTCTTTTATATTAATGAAATCTCAATTGAAGTTTGTCAATTATGGAATAAAATGACGATTACCATGTTTTACGGAAAAATATGAGCAAAGGAAAGTGAAGCCTGCTATTCAAAATTATAAATTTGTTATCAAATCTTCACAAAGTACAAATAAAAAGACAATTACTATAAATAGCTGGGATAAATTATTTTACTTATTGCCCAAAAATGCTAAATTTAAAAATCTGGAAGACAAACTCTTTTATGAACTTCAGAAATCATCCAATCGGTGCAAAGGTCAGTGCAGTATTGTGACAGAGCCTATTACAACACATCCGCGAGACCTGCCACCTTAAAGAAAAGAACTTGAAACAAATTATAGTCAATCTTTTGATGATACAGAGAATTCTAGTAGTGAAAGTTCAAAAGATAATAGTAGAAGTGATGATTACACAATCCCATTTAGAAAGGCAAAGATCACCGGTAAAATGGTAGCTCAGATATCTGAAAATGAAGGGTATCCAGTAAGTTGTAATCAATACCGTTGGTGAGACATCGATTTGCAGATCGGCAGTTTAAAAAGCATTTACAACACTCATGCATGAATTAAGCTTGATTCGGTCTTATATAGACTCTTCTAAAGAAATCTGGTGCTTACATTTTGATGGTAAGAGCATAGACAAACAACATTATTAAAGCACTTGCATTTTGAGCAAGCCTAAATCTTTGGTAATATCTTTGAAAAAAATAGAGAAAGGCAACTCTGTTTCTATTTATAACATGTTACACACTATTACTTTGGAAATTAATTTACTAAATAAAATTTCTGTTGTAATATATGACGCCACAGCAGTAAATATAGGTTCTAAAAATGGCGTAATTAAACGTTTGACAAAAATTATTCCAGGTTTAGTGCACCATCCTTGTCAACTTCATGTTCTCTTGCAGAAGAAATGTTGAAGATGTAACGAAGTTAAAATTAGCATTAACTGTTTTTTTTATTTTTTTATTTTAGGTAACCCAAGAAGACCTAACAGTCTTGTCACAGAGCAGCGCGGAAGTGCATTTAACCAGAAAGTTAACGCCTCCTTCCTTACCGTGACGCGAAAATCGTCACGGTAAGGAAGGAGGCGTGAACTTCCTGGTTAAATACACTTCCGCGCTGCTCTGTGACAAGACCGTTATGTCTTCTTAGGGCACCTAAAAAAAACAAAAAAAAAAACAGTTAATGCCAATTTTAACTTCGTTCAATTTTAACTGGTAATTGCCTGGAGTGTTTGGAAAGACACTGTAATATTTGGAACTATTGCCCATGAGACATTAATTACACAAATAAAGTGTACGAAAGGTCTCTTGCAAAAATTAAACTATTTCTTCAAAGAAACATAATCAACTTTAAGGCCAAATTTCTGAGATACTGTAATAAACTTTAATCTGCCTTTGTGTGTTATTGTAATAAAACAATTTATTGTTTGAACTATATTTACTTCCATGACGCAATTTTCAAAGACTTATAACTAAAAATTTAGAATTCAACAAACATTATCTTTACTCCAAGTTACATAAATTTTTGTACATAGTTTGTAAGCATAGAGGCTAGCTTCGGAAGACAATATGCAGGACCTGCGAATTTGGGGGCGTTTTTCAAATATAGGGGTCCTTTTCCAAATATAAGGTTTTTTTTTAGTAATACATCTAGTAATGGAAGGTTTTTAAGATTTTAACCCCCTAATGACAAGTTAGAGGAAGGGGGTTCTGACCTTTTAGCTACAACACTGTTTGTAAGGTATTTTCATCCCTATGTAAATTTGTTACCTTGTTTTTTTGATTAAAATTTTAGTTTATAAAAGTCATTCCTTTTAAAAACAAGACTTTTCAAACTGTCGCAACTTGATTTAATAACTTTTCAAACTGTCGCAACTTGATTTAATAACTTGATTTTTGACAAACTTTATCATTTCGAAAAAAATGAATTTGCGCCAAAAGTTTTTGAATCTGTTACGGTTAAAATTATTTTTAAAATATTTTTTATAGCATTTCTCCACCGGTAGTAATAGGGTAAATTGATTTTAAGAAAAACGTGTAAAAAACTCCCACCCCTAATATATATATATATATATATATATATATATATATATATATATATATATATATATATATATATATATATATATATATATATATATATATATATATATATATATATATATAATATATATATATATATATATATATATATATATATATATATATATATATATATATATATATATATATATATATATATATATATATATATATATATATATATATATCTTTACTACGAAGTCAAAAGAGATTTTCAATGTAAAAAAAGTCTCTTTCGACTACAATTTTGCTACCTCGACAAACAAACTACATTTTGTGTCGTCGAAATGTCAAAGCAATTAAATTAATGCGGAAGTACATTAAATTTTATTGTAAATTTAACACACATTTACTATCTTATAGCCTGACTCGCAACGGAGTGTTGCTACATCGACTGACAAATAGCCTGACTCGCAAGGGAATCAAGCTATTTTTTAGTCTATTTATTAACTCTTGATTTTTATTTTTTTTATAATTAAAAAAAACATTAAACTACTTTTTTATATCTTATTCATTTAACATTTATAATTTATAATTTAATAATATGGTGTTGTATCTTTTTTATTTTTTAATATCAACCGACGGCGACAATGTAAACGGGATTACAAATTGTTATTGAAAATTTTTGATATTTTTCAGGCTATTATTTAGATTGTCCCTGTAAAGGTTAAAGTAACATTTAACTAATTTTTGTTCACGTTACTGTATTTTTAAAAAGAAAAGATTAAGTTGTCTACCCTCATACATAAATTAAAAAATTATATTGTTTTGTAAATGTAGTTTTTTTGTCTTCCTATATAATACGACATAAAGTTTTAAAATGTTGCATCTCGTTTGTGTGTAATAATAAATCATTAAAAAAATGTTTTTTATTCATTTTATAAATCAAATCTATTGTTGTTATAATTAAATCCCATTTTAATGCTACTTTTGTGAATTTTATATTGAGTTAAAAATAATAATTGTTCCAAGACTTTTAGCCGATTAAGTCAGAAAACTACATATGAGCAAAAAATGTAAAGCTAGGAAAATATGGAGATAATTCAATGGAAATTATTTTTATTTTTTGGTAGCTTTTTGATTATGTATTTGATTATTATACGAGATTTGTCGTTTAAAAATAGTTACAAAACACCAAGTTATTACCGTTTCTTTAACCGTGGTTTTAATACTTCATTCAACACATATGAAAACATTGATAAATCAGGTAAATAAAATTGATTTTTATGTTGAATTTATTTTAACTTTATTTTTTATGTTTGGATAAAAAAAAATTCTTATTGAAAAAGTACGTTTCTAGAGAAGAGATACTTATATAAGACTCAAACTAGTCAAGTTTGCCGCGTTTTAAGTGAAATTCATTTGCTGGTTTCTTATTTAGTTAGTGATTTCTCTTCTTGCTTTTGGAAATTTCATTAAACTTATGTTGCCACTTTTCAGATTGTCTTCTTTCTTTAAACTTTTATACTTGTGTTTGTGTGTTTTGTGTTCAATATATTTTTATATTCATTTATTCAAAAATAGATTTATTTTGTGGCGTACTTACATACCTCTAATAAAAATACTTTGAAACTAAAACCAAAATATAATCATGTAACAAGCTGTTGAAAAAATTTAATACATCCCAAGTTGGCAATCTATTTAAGTAAAAATCTTGAAATTTTTACTGATATAGATTGCCATACTAAAATTTTTTCAGAACGGCTTGTTAGCAGCCTTCTAAAATCAAAAATTTTTTCATATTGTTTTTTTCCATCCTTATCACAACTGTATACTTTCCCTAATTTTTCTCGCCGCTCTTTCAAGTAACTTGTTTCGACTTTAAAACAAAAATAAAATCTTTCCATATCAAGAAGAAATCCAGCATTTTCCACAACTTTTTTTGCAAACAAACGTCTTTTTTTTTAATTCATGGAATGAATTAAAATTCAATAAACAGTCAGCCACAGTACTACAACTTTGAGCCTTTCTCCACAGGTACTACAACTTTGAGCTTTTCTCAGCGCAGCACAGTTGCGTGCACAGTGGTCTGAAATTCTCAGCCAAAATGTGAAAAAAAAATCTCTTGTTTTTTATTATTTTCATTTTTAAATACATTATTTTATTTTTAAATACATAAATTACACATAAATATACATAAATTTTTTTATTTATTTATATATATATATATATATATATATATATATATATATATATATATATATATAAATAAAAATAGAAATTTATATATATATATATATATATATATATATATATATATATACATACATACATACATATATATATATATATATATATATATATATATATATATATATATATATATATATATATATATATATATATATATATATATATATATACATATATATATATATATATATATATATATATATATATATATATATATATATATATATATATATATATATATATATATGTATATATATATATATATATATATATATATATATATATATATATATATATATATATATATATATATATATATATATATATAGATATATAAATGCAATATATTATCGAATATATATATATCCTTATAGTGTAGTCGAAAGAGACTTTTATAGTTAAAAAAGTCTCTTTCGACGACAATTTTTATTACCTCGGTATTTGATTGTCATCGAAATGTCGATGTAGCAACGCTTACGCATGTTTTTTTAAAACATGCGTAAGTGTTGCTACATCGACTATCTTATAGCCTGCTGCTACAAGGGAGTGTTGCTACATCAACTATATTATAGCCTGACTCGCAACGGAGTGCTGCTACATCGACTAACAAATAGCCTGACTCGCAAGGAAGTGCTGCTACATCGACTGACAAACAGCCTGACTCGCAACGGAGTGCTGCTACATCGACTGATAAATAGCCTGACTCGCAAGGAAGTGCTGCTACATCGACTGCTACTTGGTTTGAGCAAGCAGTCTATCATTTAAGAAAAAAATTTTTTTTTTGAAGTTTTTCAACATTTTCTGGTCAGGCTTATTAACACGCTCTTTAAAACAACAGTTTATGGGATAAACTTTGTGACTAACATGCAAGACTATATATATATATATATATATATATATATATATATATATATATATATATATTATATATATATATATATATATATATATATATATATATATATATATATATATATATATATATATATATATATATATATATATATATATATATATATATATATATATATATATATATATATATATATATATATATATATATATATATATATAACCTTTAAATTAAAAACTGTTTCCAGATTTGGATTCAGCATGAAAGATTTAGAATAAAAAACATCAACATTTTATTTTTGGGAAAAAATCGTACTTTTCAGACCACTGTGCGCTGGCTTAGTAGTAGTATAATGGGGGTTTGAACTCAGTGGTCATCGCCAAACGTAAATCGCTCATGTTAATAAGGGTTTGGACTCAGCCCTACAGTTAAAAAAGTTTTAGCAATACTTAAGATGCCCTCCCTGAGACCTTATTTGAAACCCCTCTCGAAATACGACAACGTCTACTGAACAAAATTTTTGGGTATCGGCATAAAATCTGTTAGGTATTACAGCTTGAAAACCATTTACACTATTTAACATATTGGTCTAACTGCTTGAGTTACGGGAAGAACCAGCAAGACAACGGTACATTTCTTCGTAAAAGTTGTATGGAAACATTCCAATCGAGACTCTCACATGAAATATTTACATTGAAAAACTACGAGGTTTGAGCTGCGTCACGCTGAACACGGCGGTGACGTATTATTGGCTCAAAAGCAAACCCGAAACGGCTTACGCTACCATATGATACTTCAGTAAGTAGCTGAGGGTTATCAACAGTTTCATACTGTTGAGTGGATAATTTGGAGTTGCTGAAGTGTCTGCAAAACTACGTAACGTCTGAAATGAGAATTGGGTTGTAAAAAATTAATTTTAGCAAATCCATGTCATCTAACAAAAAATGACATTGTTGACCCCTGTTCAAACCCCAGTTATGTGGAAACAAAGGCATTAACCTTGAAAAAAAAATCCTCTAAAATTTTCTATTTTTGTTCAAAATTGTGTAGTTTTACGAAAAAAATCCTTTAAATTAAATGGAAAATCTTCTAATTCGCTAATCTCCATAGTCTATCAATGATTGAATTTCTTGATGTTGCGTTCTTACTGTTAATTTTTAAAATATAGCAAACCCTAGTTTCACTACAAGCCTCGCAGTTAAGTCAGTACCTCGTGTTAAAATAACGTCGTATAGCAATCGGACAGCTCCTGGTACAACAACCATTTTCGGCGATAAAGTAGAAAAACGGACAAGCAATGTGGTACCTTAAGGAGATGATATAATGTATGGGTTTAGGTTAACTGTTATACTTGTCTATCTACTTTAGGACCATGCCTGGTTATTTAATCCCGATTAGGATTTAATAAAGTTCCATTGCAACTATTTAAACTTCAAGCCATTTTATTAAGTATTTAGAGGAGGAGTTACTTTCTAATATATAGTTCTTTGGAAGATGGCTGAATTTATTCCATTAATTGAAAGAAGTGATGATTGGGGTGAAAGAAGTGATGATTGGGGTGAAAGAAGTAACTGGACTAAATGGAGTGATTGGGATATGCTACCTATTGATGGATCTATTGATGAGGTAGATATTTTTGATAGAGCTGAAATTGAAAGAAAACAAGAAGTACAAATGCAAGAAGCATTAAAAAACCTTCAAGACACAACTTCTAATATTTAAAAAAATATTACACCAGAAATGAAAAGTATATCTGTAAGGGTTGTATTACACGGCTGTTTCAGAGTGACCTTTACGGCTTCTTGTTTTTTTTTTTGAAAATTTTGACTTAAGGGTGTTACTAAAACATTTATAACTTTTGAAATATTAGAAAAAATTTTGTTTTGTAAAAGGAATAAAAAAATAATAAATTGTTTTATCATACGACATTTAAAAGCGCGACAAATGATGAACTTGGTTAAATTTTAGTAATTTGTTGTTACTTTTTATCAAAAAAAAATCAGAAAAATATATTTCTGATAGTTATTATCAAATACAATCATTGTTTAACAATTATTAAAATAAAAAAAAATTACTTAATTGTTAAAGGTAAACTGAAAGTCTTTATTTAATTCTGCAAGCAAACCGCATTTTTTGCAAAATTATGAAAAATGTTGTTAAATAAGCTGTTAATGAGCACGTTTTTAAATCTAGAAGTACTTGTTTTAAAAAATAATTTACTATGTTGATAAATTCAATGCATTATAAAATAAAACCAGATCTCAATTTTGAAATATTTAGTCTTAACATTTTAAGCTAAAAAACTTAAGCAATTCTTTTCTATGCATACAGTTTAATAATATGGTGTTAGGTTGTTAATAAATAAAGACTCAAATAAAATAATTCATGACCAAAACTAAGTTAAAGTTTTTGAATTAACCTCGCTTTTGGTAATAGAATTATTTATGGCACTTGAATCAATCTTTTCTCACAAAAAATAAAACGTTTCTTTAAATATACAAATAGCTAATTTAATTTGTTTGATAATGTGTTTTTATTCTCATTAAAAACTGTTTTATAATGAGTTGATCCACTAATCAGTTCTTTAAGTAGAAAACGATCTTTGAACATCCAGTTGATAATAGATTTATGCACCATTTTAAAGCGTCTCGCTAAGACAGTTGTTTTCATAAAATTTATTACATATTTGCTTGGGACGTACAGAATTTAAGGTCACGTGATTGTTTTGAAATGTAAACAATGTTTTGCGCATTAAACTAGAAAAACTTGTTTCTAAACTAGCCAAGTTTGAAAACATATTTCATAACATAGCTAGAGATACAGCAAACAATTTTTTGATTTTTATATGCAGAAAGGGTTGAAATTTCAATAATTTGGTGCGGATTACAAAAATAATACGATTTTCATTATTTAATAATAAAATTAAAAATAAAAATGCATTTAAAAATAGTTAAAAAATAAAAAATAAGCAATCCGTACCGAAAATTAGATAGAATAGACATTTATTTACAAATTTTCCAAATTTCAACTATGAGGCATGTAGCTATGTTATGAAATCTTAGTTAACCCAAGACAGGTTTTCCGTAAAAACTACAAAAAACAGAAAAGTGATCCCAAATCGTTAGCAATACTTAAACATTTATATTTTTATTCCATTTAAA